AGGGCAAAGGACAAGCAGTGAGAACCAGAAGTCCATTCTAGCTTCTGACGTTTCTTGGGAAAGCAACAGGAAGACATTTAAAAAATATGTTCCCCAGACCTCTGGTGCTGTTCTCTCTGTGCCATTGCCCCCACCATTGTAAAAGTAAGGTATAAAATAAAATATGCACAATATAGAAGATTAGAAAGAAGAAAGAATTACTCTTATTCCAAATATTCAAAGGTAGCCTGGAGTATTTCTTTTCATTACTTAACATAGAGATTTTTTTCTTAGTTACATAGTCATATTTATCTTTTTAAAAAATTTTTTTTCATTTAACCACATGTCTCAAACATTTTACGTTTTATTCTGCAATCTTTGTAGACAATGCTTTATTGCATACATAATATTTTATTGAGTGTATTATACCTCAGTTTACTTAGTCATTCCATTTCTGGTCTTTTGATTAACACTGTATATACATTTTTTGCTATTATTACTTTTTTACAATAACTTTTTTTTATCCATTTGACACTACATCCTAGGATATATTTTTAGTGAATTTAACAGATTGAAGGTATGAATATTTAAAAAATATTAACACATCTTTAGCAAAAGTCAGTTTAATTTTCCAAATGGGTTAGAGCAATTCGTGTTGTGTGACTGTGTTGATTTCATCTTCTTTTCCCCTGCCTTGACCATCATCACTTCAAAATACTTTTACTAACTAATTTAAGTGCCCAGCCTAGTAGGTAGCACATCATAATTGGCCAAGAAATATTTCTTGGCCAAATCTAGGATGACTATATAATTTATTGTTCACATCAGGTCATTTTTGAGAGTGAAAGGGGAGGGCTTTCTAATAATTACAGCAAAACAATAGGCACAAATAGGGACTGTCCTAGGCAATCCAAAATAATTTCTTTTCATTTGTATTTCTTTGATGGCTAGTGTGCCTGAACATTTCTTTTTTATGTTATTATATACTAGTTGCATTTCTTCTTTCCCTAATTTTCAGTTACATGTTCTTTATCCTTAGATGTTTTTCATATCAGTTAAAATAAAAAATTTTTTTCTTCAAATTATAAAAGTAATATATGCTTGTGATAACAAGAGAAACAATTCAGGATGAAGATCCACAAAGGAAAAGCTTTGATGGCTTAATTCTCCTCCCAGGGATCCCTTGTTAAAGGCTCGGGTATTTCCCTACCTTTCTTCTTGTGTGTGCACACAAATACACTTCATTTTAAAGATACAAAGGGGGCTTGATCTTATGTGTCATAGTATACATAGTATTCTGTAATTTGCTTTATTTTTTGCTTAAAATATATATTGTGGGCATAAGATCTTTATCAAAATAAAATACTTTTGGTACTTTTGTTACAAATATTTCCCCAAATGTTAGTATATTGCTTGCCCATTTGACATAGTTTGACATGTGTGAGTGAGCAACTGTTTCCCTGCAATTTCTTCCACTGACGGGACAGCCTGCTTTGCCCTTTCATAGGGTTTGCTACTTAGCTCTGCTGTCTGCTGGTTTTAAAAAATTTTTAACTTTCAAAAAAATTATTATTTAATCCAATTATAATTTATTTTGATGTAGGATGAGGAGGAAATAAGGGGCCAAACTGATTGCTTTTCTCCTTTAACTTACTAATGAATTGTCCCATCACCCTTTATAGAATGAGGCTTAAAAAAAACCTTTTTATTTCCATAAAGCCAGTTATCCCTTTCATTTGTACCTTTTTTTTTTCAGCTATAAACTAGTGGTATGGTAATCAGAAGAGTATTTTTCTAAGGGAGGGAAGAATTTGCATTTACCTGGAATTAGGTGGTTACACTGAGAATAACCTGATTCCTCAGACCCCAAATCTTTGCCTCGAACTTGAATATGAGGATGCCATGGGAGTGTGCAGTCTGAGAAGCTCAGAGTGCTTCTGCTAACGATTTCACATTCATCTCTACTGCATTGCTATGAGGTAAGAGAGCCACAAATATGATCTCATTTTACAGGGGACAAGGCTCATCCAATCTCAGTGATTCACGCACTGTTATTCCTGTTTTCCAATCCGATAATTCATTGTTTTCTATAATTCTATCTGTTGTTGTGGTCATCCTTCTGATTGCCTTTCTTAGTGGTAAATCTGTGTTTGAAACTTTAGTCTTGGTTGGCTACTTTGGTCACTGTGAGGAGAATCTCAGGAAGCCTGCCTAGAATTGATGGCTCTTCCAGGAGCATTATTATTATTATTATTTAACAAGTATTTGTTGTGAACCTGCTCTGTCCAAGGCACCATGCCAGATATGGGAAATACAAGGTGAATAAAACGCTTTTCCTCTCCTCAAGGAATGTACTAATGACTTGAGCATTGTTGTAGCTCCTGCTATTGTCCTTAGACGTTTACAAAAGGATATTAATATTTTGTGTTGCATCCACTCTGCTGCTGTGATTGCAATGTCGGAGGACGTTTTCTGTCCGGCAAGTCTTGCAAGTGCATTGCATGCTATTTCCTATTCAGAGAACTACTATGAGGCATTTAAAACACCTGAGGATGTGACTGATGCATATTTTATAAGCTCAGATGGTCTTAGAGATCTTCCTGTCAGTGTCCTCTGTTTCTAAATAACTACACTTTTTGGCCCCAACTTCTCTTCCTTTGGGCATTTAGGTTACTCATTTGGTCAACCAGGATCTAAAAATAAACTTAGAAACTTTGAGAGTGCTTTTCCCCCCTTGGCTGATTGATGTGTGTTTTTGTGTATGCCAAACTGCGCTGTGTAACTATTTACTTTTGCATTATGTATAGCACTTAGCAACCCACAGTGGAAATGAAAGCTGAGAGCACAGACAGTCCCCAGCTGAAGCGGGGGAGCTTTTCTGCCCAAGTCTCAGCCAAGTCTCCTTCCCTCCCCCATCCTGTACCTTGCTGGCCTCCAGTTCCTGCTTTTCGCCTTCTCTGCTGGCAGCCAAATGGGGACCAGGAGCAGGGGCAGGAAGGGCCCCTCCTGCCTCTACTCTTACCCATTGAGATTTCCCTCTTCAGGTCACCGTGGGTGGGGTGAGGGGAAGGACACAGGCCTTGGCCACCACTGGCGTCTTGGCACTGGTGACAGTCCTGTAGGGTCAGAGGCACTGAGACACTATGTCTTATTTGGAGCTCTAAATACATTTCCATAAAAGAAGGACACAAGTTGTGGCTGGACCCTCAAGACAAAACTATGTGACTTCTCAGGAATGCTTTCTTTAGGGTGACATAAGTCAGTGCTTACAATGTTGCTGTTAGAGGAGAATACATTCTAAATTCTAAACATTTCAGGTTAGAAAGAAACTTAGGACATGATCAACTTGTAACTCAAGGGACTGTCTCTAAAGTCAAAAATTGGCTTATTCCCACGTGGGAATGTCCCTTTGCTTGGGACTTTGGAGTGTGCTGAATGTGCCCAGCCCTTCTTTCCTTGGCCCTCTTCTGTAGCTGTAAGAATACGTTAGTTCTCTGATTTTTAGAGTAGCAACTGTACTAAAAAATTCACACCTTGATTTTACCAGAAGAGTGGGAGAAAGACCTTGGGAGTATAGATTTAATTCCTTGATTATTGCCTTTTAGAAAAGAATGCAAAACAATGTATCAGGGCTATTGTTAAAGACTTACTTTTTTTCCTTAAGAAATCAAACTTTTGTTCCTTTTTAGGACTGTGTGCCTCTTATTTATAATACATTTTGGGGAACAGATTTGAAGAATATTTCTGTGTATATGTGTATGTACACACACACACACATATATAGGCTGTGGATAAAGAATTTTTTAAAATAAAAAGTTGCTTTTAAAGTTGATTTATATCATCTTTCTTTAGTAAAATCAGGGTTTTGTTTTTTTTTTTAAAGGGCTGGAGAGCATACATCAGCAGTTCAGAATGATTAAATAGTACTTACTTGGGGGACAAAGTCTGTGAACTTACTTATGTGGTTTTCACAGATGGAGATAAAGCAGTAGAAGAATCAAAACCCTCCAGCCTCAGGTGAATTTTCTTTCCAACCTCAGAAGGGGTGGGCCCACTTGACACAGGAAGCATCACAGGACAGTGGTTTGAGTAATGAGAGAAGGCTTATGGATTGTGCTTAGCTGTTGTCTACATACCGAAAGACAGGATGGTCTAAAGAAACTCTCCTCATTCCACGGCCTCTGCATTTTTTTGCAGGGTGCATGCATTACACATAGGACACCTCTCCTACAAGAACAAGGAGCTGCAGAAATAGCTAGAGCTGTAGACTGCAATTGAAGAAGAGGCTAAGCTTCCAGCAGTTGCAGACAAAGAGAGAAGTCTTAGAGGCTGGCATGTCAGCCCTGGTGTATGAAATTAACCAGCCCTGAAGATTCAGTGCAAGACCGTAGAGGATCAGGGCACAGTGCAGAATGAGGATAAGAACAGGGATGTGTCCACACATCTGAGACACTTTCCTGTGCTACCCACAGCTGTAGGTATATGTACCATTTTATACGTATTATGTAAAAATATATTTATACTTAACCATTTAGAAACTTGTTGTTCTAGATGGGCCCTCTTGGTGGTAAAGGACTAGGATGTCACTCAAACTAATTTGAGTAACAGGGGTTCTTGTAGCAATGACTACTACTATCATTGATTCAGACTTCACTCTGTGCCAGACACTGTTCTGAGTATATTATCTCACAGAATCTTCTTGCCCATCCTGGGAGTTAGTGTGTTATTATCCCCATTTTACTATGGAGGAGGAGGCATAGACGATATCCTCTAAGGCAGGTGTGTGAAAAGTGGGAGTCAGGAGTCACACCCAGGAGGTAACTCTGGAACCATGATTTCTAACCACTATTTTAATCCTGGAAAAGATTTCATGACAGTGAATCAAAGTGCAGCTGGGCCTCACGGGGTCCAAAACAAGGAACTGGCAAATCAGGAATAGAGCCATTTTCTTTCTCAGAGGTCCTGTGGTCTCTGCTTCATTAGCCCCTCTTTTTCTCTCCTATCCTGTTTCTTTATCTTACATATGGCCCTTGAAAGGTCAACCAAATCCATAAGGCTGCACCATGAGACTTCAATTTCCCTCAGCATGTCCTGGCATAAATTTATAAGCAAGAGATTCCTATTGGTCCAGCTCATGGAGTCAGGCAACACAAGCTATTGAAGCCTGGGCAGCAAACTAATTACCTGCCTTTGTGTTGCTGTTTATCTTAGTTTCATTAGTGGCCATTTTCCTGAGCAAGGGATTGTGGGAAAGGGAGTGCATACTGGAATGGGAAGTAGTGCATAGCAAGAAATTAACATCTCTGGTACAAACTCATTTTATACTTTGATAAACATTTTTTGTTATCTTTACAAAGTTTTAACTTAAAAGAATCTATATATATCTATATAGTCTATATCTCCTTAGGTTACAAATGATAGAAACCTGATTCAAAGGGACTTAGAAAAAACATCAGATTAATTGGTTCAGGTAATTGTAAAGGCAAACTTGCCTGGATCAAGGTCTCAAGCAATATTATCAGAAATCTATCTCTTGGTTTTGCGTTCCTCTGGATTGATTTTATCCTCAGGCAGGTCCTCTCTACGTGATATTGAGATACTATCAGAAGCTCCAGGCTTATCTGTTAGCTGAACAACCCCAGCAGAGAGCTTCTCTTTCCCTATAGTTATGGCAAAGTTCCCAGGTTTGATTCTCATTGCCCTAAATTGGTTTCATGCCTATTGCTCAGCCAAGCTGATTGGTCAGGTCTGGGTCATTGTCCATCCCTGGAAAGGGGTTAAACCTCCTTCCACTCCCCACATGTGCATTAAAGCACATGGACTGGGAATGGGGGAATGTAGTCCCCTGTGACAATTGACGTGTTAGTACCACAAAAAATGGGAATGGATACTGTCCATGCAAAAACAACCCACATCAATGTTGAACATTTTCAGGTCTATTACAAGTAACTGGAAAAGCAGACTGGACCACAGGCTGATTCTTATGTGACAAATTTAAAGACCTAGGAAATCCAAAGTGCAGGGATAGGCCTGCATCCTCTGTGGTTTTTTTAGGTCATAATCCTGAAAGATGATGATATTAAGTCAAAAAAGTTGTTATTAAGATTTGCAACTTTTTGAGAAAGCCAATCACAGGATGGTTTTGTCTTTAATTTTTGATCAAATAGAAGGATAAGACTTGAAGGGCTCTTGCCAGCTGCCCCCTATTTGAAGTCTAAGCTGTTCTGGCATTAAAATGACTTTGTCAAATTACATACAGGCTTTGTGTAAACCTTCACAGTGTCTAGGATTTAAAACCCAGTTTATTTAGCTAGTGATTAAAATGCCCAGTTTATATATCAGTGATCTTAATACTCACCGGGAAATAATTGCTTGTTTTTTAGCTATATAATCAGGGACTAAGTATATAATCAGGGACTTCAAGTCCTGTGGAGGTTAAACCAGCAAGTCTTCATGATTGCAGATATAGGTTGAGTCTACGTGACCCCGGATGTTCAGTAGCAGTTTGTGTGTGTGTGTGTGTGTGTGTGTGCGTGCACGTGTGCATGTGTGTATTTGTAGATAGAACTTTGTACTGACAGAATTACCATATCTCTTTGCTTACTCCACTTGCTACAATGATCCCAGATGTCCACTAAACAAATTATCAGCTTATTTTGCCTATCAAATTTTTCAGGCAGTTGCCTTAATTTCTTTCACTTATTATAAAAATTTGTATTTAAGGGATTAAAAAAGTCCCCTTCGATGCCAAAATGTTTCTCTTCTGTTGTTTTTCATGTAATGGTGACTTTCATATTTAACAATTGTTATTTCTTTACATGCTGTTTTGAGGTTTTTCAATTGCAAACAATAGTGAGATGAACATGGAGGGAGTCAGAGTGCCTCCCTTCTACTCTAGAGGCTGAGGCAGGAGGATTGCTTGAGCCCAGGAGGTGGAGGCTGCAGTGAACTGTGATTGCACCACTGCCCTCCAGCCTGAGTGACATAGTCAGACCCTGTCTCAAAAAAAAAAGGAAAGAAAAGAAAAACAACCAACATGGGCTGTGGGGTCTGACTGAGCCTGGGTCTGAATCCTTGTGATGTCTTGCTAGCTGCATCACTATGGGCAAGTTACTTAACTCTTCTGAGCCTTTATTTCTAATAGTTTTATATAATTTCCCTGACAGTGTGCAATATGGACTCTCATTATTCTCTTTTTTAAGAGAGAAGTGGGTGTTAGGGAAATTATGTAAAACTATTAGGGCTGTGCCCATCCTGTAGTCATGAAGCACTCAATAGGTGTTAACTATTAATATGATTTGAACAGGCAGAGAATGGGGTAGAGTGTGTTTAGGGAGACGAGAGGTGGCAATTGTCGGCCAGGATAGTAGATGGTGGGGAAGGCACAGGGACAGCTGGGAGGTTGGCGTGGAGCTGAGTTCACCAAGGTTCCTTTCCTCTGAGTCTGTATTTTCCAAAGAGTCTCCCCCTACTCATCTGGTTTCCCCAAAAGGACTTCAAAGCCCAAGAGAAGCATATCCGGATCCACCTGACAATATGTTTCCCAGGGTACACAGTAAAATGGCCTTCTGGTTTATCAATCAGTGTCTTGAGCATTTAGTTGGTGTGAGTTGGTCCCCTAGGGTCTCATCACCTCCAACTGAACTGATAAAATCAAATTCCTGCATGTGCAGAGCTGAGGACCAGGCCTGGAACCTGGAGTAACCCCTGAGAGGCACAAGAATTGTGAGGCCCAGCTGGAAACCGAGAGCTCACCCACCTCTCTCTCCTCTCCCTTGATCTTTCCATTAAACTTTCATAAATGTAACAAACTGCATTCCAGACATCTGGTGGTATTGGGCAGAGCCTGGCATGCAGAAGGAGGGGCTCAGGAAGTGCTTCTGCAGTAGATGAAGAGTACTCGCTGCTGCTGAGGCCATGGGCAATGGACTGGGGCTGGGAAGGCAGCAACTGGGCTTCGTGTTCTGGACCCTTTTTCCGCTTGCTAGTTGCCTTTGGAAAAATCCCTTAACTCAGCCTCAAATACCTTATCTGTGCAATGAAGATCAAATCTGAAGGCAGAAGACTGCTCCATGTCCTCTGGTGTTCCTGTCAGCTCTGACACTTGTGCCCTACCAAGGATACTCCCAGCAAGGGATAGGGGTATTATGGCACAAAATGTTTCCTCCCCATGGAACTCAAGGGGAGCGACAGGGTAGTTTCTGCCTTTGTCTGTGCACTAGTTACTTCATGTTTGCTTTTCTTGTTGCCCTATTTGAAATGTAAGCTATGTTGTTGGGTGGAGCGTTAATTGTAAGAGGAGGATGGACACAATTTGTTTGTATTGCCTACTGGGGCTATCACAATTCTGGACATTGAAAAGGTGCTCAATATACATTTGTTAAAATGAATTGAATATTATTGCCTAGCAATCAATGAATTACATCATATTCTTACTCAAAAAACATTATTTGCTTCATTTACAGTCTAGCAATAATAAGAAAAACACAACAAATAAAATTGATTATTTTGAAGAACAGAGGCTGAGTTTTAAGAGCTCTGAGTTCTGTTTCAGAGTTGCATTTAGTTAGTTACAAGCCGTGTTAGTTTATTATAAGATGCTTTATTACTTAGAAGTCATTCTCCAACCTCAGCTTCAACTCCATAAGATAGAAAGTGAAAACATTGATTTTGTTTTAAACGTTTTGTTTTAAAATTCAGGCTCCCCCAGCCCCATGTTTAAGAGTAAGAGGTTTTAATACTGCTAAGTTGCCCTTCATGTAATTTGGATAAATGCGGCTCACATCTTTATTATTCTACCCTTTCTTCAAAGGGGCATTCATTTCTAGTCTGAGACTAATGTGGGAATCTATTGCACTGGCCAATAAATGAACAGCCTGTTCTTATACATACAAGAATTCCCAAGGCTCTCATTTTAGCCACACAAAAGCAAAACAAAACACACACATAAAACACCCCATTTCCACTTGTTCAAAGCTTCCAAGAAGAAAGTTATGGTTGCAATATATTCCTAGGCCTTCCTTCGTGAATGCATAGGCCAGCCCTACAGTCTGGAGATAATTCCCCACACAAGCTGATACTGTTAGGACTTGGCTTTCTGCCCTGGATCCAGAGCAGCCTTCCTATATAGAGTGCTGCTAATTCACCACTAAATCAGGTGTCCGCTAAAGGCCTGCACACACCCTTTGTTTGACTTATAGTGTTTTAAAAACTTTTAAAAACTTGTTGCTAACTTAAAAAAACCAGGATATTTTATAAAAATGTGGATTTCAGGCTTCTCCTGAAAAATCATAATATCTGCATAAAATATGGGGTCCAGTCCCTGCCTGGCAGCAATCGGAGAGCTGAGTGATGCATGCTCTCTTTAGAGAGAACATGTGCACACCAGCCCCTGGAATCCCCACCCTTCTTTCTCTCACACATCCTGACTGGCTTCACGTGCCCACATGTCTGGTTGCTCCTTTAAGCATTTTTGTGGCTTTTTTGTTGCTGGTTGTGGTATAAAATATACATAATGTAAAGTTTGCCATTTTAACCATTCTTAAGTGTACAGTTCAGTGGCATTAAGTACATTCACGTTATTATGCAACCATCACCACCCTCCATGTCCAGAACTTCTTCATCTTCTCCGATGCAAACTCTGTACCCATCAAACAACATCTCCCACTTCCTCCTCCCCATAGTCCCTAGCAACCACCATTCTGCTCTATGAATTTGACTACTTTAGGAACCTCATATAAATGAAATCATGCAGTATTTGTCCTTCTATGACTGGGTTATTTCATTTATTATATCCTCAAGTTTCACCCATGTAGCATGTGTCAGAATTTCCTTCCTTTTTAAGGCTGAATAATGTCTCATTGTCTGTATATACCATGCTTTGTTTATCCACTCATCTGTTGATGAACATTTGGGTTCCTTCCACCTCTTGGCTAATGTGAGTAATGCTGCTGTGAACATGTGTGTAAACTGAGTCCTCCAAACATTTGTGTTTCTTGACAATCTTCTCAACAATTTCCCAGCTCTGCTCTT